GAAACATTATAAAGGAGAGTTCTACTGGCCAGTCTTAAAATGCATTTGATTGGCTGCTGGTTTTCAGCTGAATAAATATAACCAATGGAATCTTCTGTTCTCAAGTTTCTAAAACAATGGATTGCATTCAGTTGACCTGCAGGGGCGGCTCTAGGCACCAGCAAAGCAAGCACGTGCTTGGGGCAGCCCATTTGCAGGGGCGGCAGGAATCCAGCCTGGGAGCTGAGAACCAACAGGGGGCCCTGGGAACTGTAGTTCCTTGGTTAGCTCCCTGCCTATAGAGCCAGCCCTGGAGCAGGGAAAGGACTACATTTCCCAGCATTCCCTTGGCCACTACCAACAGGAAAGAGGGGGAGGGAGTGAGGTAGCCGAGACATCATTCTACAGCCTGCTTTGAATGGAGAGCTGCACTCTGAAGGGTAGGGATACCATATTTTAACATTCAAAAAACAGGACACTCCACAGGGAGGAAGGGTAGCCCCACCCTGCCACCATCCACCCCCTCTGATTGCCCCCCACAGAAACCCCAACCCATCCAACCCCCCCTGCCCTCTGATCACCCCCTCCCGGGACCCCACCCCCTATCTAAGCCTCCCTTCTCCTTGTCCCCAACTGCCCCCTCCTGAAACCCCCCACAACTTCCCCCCTAGGACCCCACCCCTGTCCCCTGACAAACCCCTGGGACTCCCATGCCTATCCAACCGCTGCCTGTCCCCTGACTGCCCCCCCGAACCTCTGACCCATCTAACCCCCCCTTCTCTCTGCCCCTGACTGCCCCCCCCAACCTCCGCCCCATCCAACCCCCCAGCCCCATTACCGTGCCACTCAGACCAGCATGTCTGGCTCCGCGCAGCGCCAGACACCCTGCTGCATACATGCTGCCGTGCTCCCCCGCGGAGCCACAGCCCCCTTTCCCCCCCCCAGCACCTGCCTTCCAGATTTGAACACCTCAAAATTCAGGAGTGCTCAAGCTCAGTTTGGGCAGCTGTTACTTCATTTCTCCCAAATCAAATATACTGATCCACTGTAACTTGCTGTAGAAAAAGTAGGATAAAATTGAGCAAGAAATGCTTCCCATTGGTTATTAGGACTGGAATTGCTATTTTCAACAGCCATTGCCTTTTTGTTTGTTTGTTTGTTTGTTTAAAAGGAAGACAGTGATATTGCATTGGCAAATTCCCCATAGAAAGAAAGAGTGGAAGAAAAGAATAATAAAGGCACCTCAACTTTTCCTCATTTATGTAGGACAGTCTTATAATATGCATCCAGATATCCTCCAATCACACAAGCTGAAAATTGTTCCACTTTACTGCAGTTCTGTAACCATATGGGAACCAATCCTGTCTGTGTTCTGTGCACATCTAAAATTCCTGCTGAATGACCCGCCCTGGGAGCGAGTTACCAGTGACCCAGGGCTGCGGCAGAAGGAGGGTGCAGGTTGGGGGGGGAGGAGAGAGCCCAGGGCTGGGGCGGCAGGGGGTGTGGGTGGGTGGGGAGAGCCCAGGGCTGGGGCAGCAGGGGGGGTGTGGCGAGGAGCCCAGGGCTGGGACTGGGGGCAGCCAAAATTTTTTTTGCTTGGGGCGGCAAAAAACCTAGAGCCGGCCCTGTTGACCTGGGCACTTAAATTGAAGCTTCCTGCTTCACAGGTTGGCTTCCCACAAGCTGCGGAAAGAATAGAGCTAATTCATCAACTACGGCAGGAGTTCTTACTTCCTGGGCAGGGAATTGATCAGTTTCAGGTTTCAGTGACATACACAGATACAAGGTACATTTCTTTTTATAGCTTCACAGTTTGTTTTGGTGTTATCATATGCTAACTTGTGCCTGAAAGGGCTTCTCAGGTTGAGAAGTTTTTATCTCTGTGAAAGAAATGCACAATTAGGGGTTGGAAAACAATGGACTGAAAATGTTTTTGTCCAGTGGGCTACATAAGGGCAAGTGATGATGGCTCAGCCCTAACTTTTACCTCCTATAAATTGTTATAATTCATTGGCTCTTTGTCCTTTACTCTGCGTCCTGAATCATTTCTCTTTTAATGCCCTTGTGGTTTTGATGATAAAAGCATGAAGAACTGAAATAAATTGAAATCCTTTAGAGACAGAATGGTAGTTTCTATTCTGTAATATTCAGGTGCTGATACCAGTCCCATCAGCTGTGCCTAGAGGTCTTAAACTCCCATCCTCCTTGATGTATTCATCTGCGCCCTGTCCCCATGACAGATTCAGATTCTGGAAGCTGGAGTTTCCAACTTTGTGAAGAGCGGTAACTGACGAGTTTCCCAATAACCTCTACTACACACAATCTTTCCTGGACATGGCTTATTCTAATGATATCAGCCCCTTTTCCCTCTGCAAGGCTGAATGCCATAGCA